AGAAAGTAGAATAACAGAATCAAAAACATTATGGAGATCAACGAGAGCATTAAAAGAAATGTTACAATAGTTCCAGCTCCAGTGCTTGACGTTCCATCAGTAATCTACATTATCCTTGGCGTCTTGGCAGCTTCAGAAAATACTGTCGTCTTATATCTTGTGATGGCATCGAAGAAATTACGCATAAAGAGAAATGTATTCTTATTCAGCTTATCTCTGGCCGATTTCGCAGTTGGTATTCTCTCATTTCTAATCTTCTTCAACATTTTTTACGAGTCGATTGTCTTCGTTGCAGTATTAGATGCAATGTTTCTTGTGTCAATGTTCAGCATAAGTGCCGTGGCAATCGAACGTTACATTGTGATAGTTGCCGCACCGTTTACCTACAAACAAGTGATAACTTTCAAGCGGTGCATTATCGTCTGTGTGCTTTTCTGGATTCTAACGATATCTCTTTTCATAGCTGTGTACGCGTACGTATATAATAAATATACACGACTTGTTTTCTGTATTTTCTCGTTAATCACAATTATTGCAAGTTATATTTTGTACTTCAGGATTTCAGTGTCGCTCAGAAAAAACGACCAAAACGTCACGAAACATCTTGGACAAAATGCAGTTGGGAGATCGCAGAAACTGATTCGATCATTCGGAATTCTGCTTGTAGTTGCTACCATTTGTTGGCTTCCACTTTGTTGTTTCTTTATAATAGCTGTATTTGATGAAAGTGTTGACGAGAATGTATTTGTATTGAACGTACTTTATTGCTTGTCTGTGAGTAATTCGCTCATCAATCCATTCATATATTGGTATCGTCTACCAGAAATTAAAGAAGGAATTTATGATCTTGCGTGTTGCTGGAGGCCTGGCGTTCGGGAAAAGGATCGTGCGCAGAACACTACATCAATGACAGTTTCAACAGTTTAAAATGTAGGCCTGACATAGCTCTTACACGGGAAGTACAGGGTTCTCTTAAAGAGAAATTTATAAACTTTATATAATTTGAGAACTGATTTGCATACTCAGTAATAGTATCCATAACATAATATCCTATTTTTGAAATTACGAATTTCGTGCGCGTTCGTTACGTTGACGCTCTCAACCACATTTCTGATGACGCAGCGTGTACATCGCTCCATTGGAGTTTTGTGACAGGCCACTGTAATGCATACGATTAGTGTCTTCTTCATCTAGGTCTACAATACTTCTTTGCCTACCTGGACCGACAGCATTATTTTTTTCCTCATACAGTTACGGCAGAAATTATAGAGGGCACTATTTAAGTAGCTATCCGTAAAAACCTAACATTGATCCTTCAGAACCGCATAATTGTCGACCCATCCTTGTTTCTAATACACTGTCCAATGTTTTTGAATTAGGTTTTCTTGATTCATGTATTGATACCAAATTTGACCCTCTCCAATGTGGGTGTATCAGCGATAGTGGCACCGCCATGGCAGCCGCTACTGTCAGCAATGTAATAACGTATTGTAACAATCAAGGGTCTTCTGTTTATGCTTGTTCTCTTGATGCGAAGGAGCTTTTAATGCTATCCCCCATGAAATCTTATTCATCAAATTAAGTTCTGTTATTGAAGATGAATGGTGGAAATGTATCCACTCGTGGTATACAAATTTAACTGTCAAAATAAGATGGAATAATAATACTGGTAGACAAATTCATATTCAAAAGGGCACAAGACAATGTGGATTATCCTCGCCATTTATTTTTAATATTATATATAGAGATCTTGTTTCAGGTCTAAGTGCTCTCGAATGTGGCATTGCTATTGCCAAATCAACCTATAATGTGTTCTGTTATGCTGATGACCTCCTACTTACAAGTAATACAGTGACAGATCTTCAGAAACTTATCGAACATGCCAGTGCCTATATTGTTGCCCATGGGCTTAGGTTCAACCCATTAAAAACTAAATTTTCAATTTTTGGTAAAAACACTCTAACACCTGAACCTTTATGGTATCTTAATGACTGCCTTCTTAATAATACGAACGAAATTGAATATCTGGGTGTAATTATATCTGCAAAAAGTACTGGCATATCGCATGTTGAAAAAAAGAATTAAAAAATTTCAAAGATAATTTTTCTCCCTTCAGGGCAGGGCATTTGCAAGGACGGTACAGCTACAGAAGTTAAAACTTACATTTGGAAAACTGTTCTTATACCTATCTTAGTATATGGCTCTCAATGTATTAATATTAATTCTGGTTATATTCAGAAACTTGAAAAAATTCAAAGTAAACTTATCAAGACTTCATTGGGCATACCCAAATACTCCAGATCGTCTCCGGTGCTTTCGGCTCTTCGTTTGCCAAAGATCTGTGACATTAATTATCTTCTTGACTTAATTTCACAGATTTTTAGAAGCGACTCTAAATCTCGAAAGTTTTATTCTCACTTACTAAATTGTGAGGCCGCCCAAAGTGTATCAGTTCGCAATAAACTGGTTGATAGAATAAATAAAATCACTCTTTTCAATAATATGATGTTATTTAAAATGTTATTTGACAGCTGGGCAATTCCGTAAATTAGTAAACCAAATGGTAAAAAATTCAAATACATCAAATGTGTATGTGTGGTACATCATTATGAAGCTAATGAGTTATATTTTTGTGAAATAAAAAAAAAATTAAGAATTCACGGAAAATAATTGGAATTCAATACAATTAATTAATATTTTGAAATACTAAAGAAAATGTAGTTATAATTTTAATTTCCAATTTTTTCCCTTGCAAAATATCAGAATCTGATTCACTTTTCATTAAAATAATGAAATAGTATTTTATTGTGATTTGGTGAAATTTTTTGACTTTTCGTAATCAACGCCATATTTTTAATTAAATATTTAAAAATAATGAAAATATGGATGTACGTCCGTCACAAGAAAATGACATTTGTTTATTTCCTTTTCTAACCAGGTACAAAGAAATTACCAAAACTCTGTTATAAAGCATACTAGGTATACCGAGTGTATACAAATTGGAAGCCTACCATTAATTACACTAATTAGCAAAACCATGTGACAGACGTACATTTTTTCTGTACGTCCGTCACTGTACGTCCGTCACACTGTGTAAAATGTGTTATAACCTATGAAATATGGTAAAAATTTGAAAACTGTCAATGTGTTATATGTCTGTAGTTACATTAGGCTACATGTTGTGCACAAAACATAATACAACATGGACAATTCTGGGTATGAGCCCCATACTTGAGTTTCTGGTCGAGATCAATTTAGGCTTACATAATTTTCCTCCCTGAAACACATTTTGTCTTATTGTTATCAAACAGTGTGCAATATGCACATATTTTCAGTACCAATGGCTTACATTACAAACAAAAAATAATTTTGAACTAAAATTTTAAGCAAATATCTAATAAAAACAAACCAGGCAGGCAATACACAAATTACATAATAATGTTATCATCTTGACTATCACGGCTACTCTATCTACTTCATCATAACAATGTCCTGTAATTACAATTACAGCTAACATATGATTATATTATTTTTTTATATTCAAATTACAGGATATTATTATAAGACACCTTATTTAGCATGAGTAACCATACAGTCATCTTGATTAACTACAATTACAATGATTTTTCTTGTATTGCAAAAATGTTGTTCTATACATTACAAGTGTCATTAATTATCTTCTTGACTTAATTTCACAGATTTTTAGAAGCGACTCTAAATCTCGAAAGTTTTATTCTCACTTACTAAATTGTGAGGCCGCCCAAAGTGTATCAGTTCGCAATAAACTGGTTGATAGAATAAATAAAATCACTCTTTTCAATAATATGATGTTATTTAAAATGTTATTTGACAGCTGTTACCACAAAAAACTGAAATAAGATTTGAAGTACAATTTTAATGAAGATGGATTATCTGATATTGTTAAGACAATTTTTCAGAAGTATCCGTTTTTAGAATGTAACGGCAGACACCTTGTATCACAACTATCACAACTTTTAAGAGTTAACTTTTAGTTTTTTCCCTTAGGCCTATCTTATGGATTTTTTTTTCTATAATTGTTTTGTATTTTTGCAATTTGTATTTTGATGTGTCTGTTTGATTTTGTAATGTTTTGAATGCATTTTATATCTCCTTTTCGGAGGTTTTCTGAAATAAATTTACATTGAAAAATTGAAATATATATGTATATATATATATTATATATATATATATACATATATATATACATATATATATATATATATATATTTGAATATCAGATGTACATGTTTATACATCGTTTGTAATACTTATCCTTTATACACAATTTTAAGAATGAAACGCTCTTGTTCTTGTTGAAAAACTCCTTAGTGTAATATCAGTTTGTTATGCTGTGGGTAATTTGTTTTAAATGTAATTTTATTGTTTCGATTTTCTATGTTTATCCTTACTGGAGGTATTATGAATAAATTGAAATAAATTAAGGTCATAGGTGAACTGATAACATGAATAATGCATGCATGCATTGCTTGACACTTCTCGCAAATCGTGAAAATGGTGTGGTGTTCGCTGATTGTAATAATTATATGAAAGCTACGGCGTTGTTAGGGCATGGAGGAGTTAGTTTAGAAACTAAACTAATTTCTCCATGGTTAGGGTAGGCAAACATTTCTTGGTAGTCGGTCGATAGGAAAGTGTATACAGTCGATACAGAGAGAACTAACGTAATTGACTATTACTATAATTACAATATCCCTACGCCTAGGCAGTGTTTACGTACAACATGGTCTTTGAAAGTATAAAAAGTCAGCGTTGAATTTCTGTTCGATTATTTGAGTGGTGTAAAGTATAGCAATAATTAACTGCTATACTACTTATTCTAAAGGATAAACGTTTAGAAATGCTCGGACACACATGTACAATTCTATGTATTGTTTTAATGTTGACTTGTTGACAATCAATTCAATATGAATAAAGGCATAGATTATATAGCAAGCAGTTATATTATAAACCCTAATACTGTTTAGGCTCTGTCTACCAAATTAAATATTGAATAGCTTTATATTTAAAACGATCAAAATCAGATGGAAGTAAAAATAGCTTTCATTGATTTACAGACGGTTCTACAAAAATCCAACCAATGAATCATGAAAATAGAATGTGTCTAATCTAGTACTAATTTTTACACTGTCTTGACTACCAAGGCTTATTTAAGATATTTTGGCCTAGTGACTCCATAGCGTTCACCCACGCATAGAACTCGATACACCACTGTTTCGCGAGGGGGAGTCTGTATGCATATTCATGCATTTCAGTTCTAATCCTGACCTAAAATAGCACCCTCTATAATTTCTGCCGCAACTGTATGGGAAAAAATGCGCCCGGTGCTGCCTCCCGAGATCTCACTGGCACTATGCCACTGTGTGAAAGTTGTTAAATGGATTCACTATTTTGGTATGAACTCCTTTCAAAATAATTATGCAATCAAAATATATGGCTACTTTCGACCTTTTTCTTAACATTTTTTTCTCTACGATAATGAGGTAGTATTGTTCTTTAATTGTTTAGTGTCACATTGATCATTGCTTAACCTCCTGAAAACTCTGGTATAATACTTTTCCCCATCATTAAAACCTGAGACGTATTTCTAAATTCTAGTAGGCTCGGATTTCATTTAGTGTATTGTTGCACTAATGTTCTTCTCGTATTTTGACTCACGACTTTTTAAAATCTCATATAGTTCTATTGTGAGGGCTTATGTTTCCGAAATTAGTTTACACATCATACAGCCTGTCATTGAATAATCGATTTATATAGGTATAATTTCACTCTCAGCGATCGAGTTCTTAATTTTAATAGTAGGCCTATGGCCTACGTTGGTTTTGTTTACTGAGATGTGCATTAGTGCATGTGCATCATTATATCATGCAACCAGGCTATTAATAACTTATTGCAGGCTGAAATAATTATAGCCAACATCTACATCACTCAAAATGTTAAAAAATCACCAAAACAACGTGATTCATTTTACTTACTAATTATATATAATTTTCCTCTACCATACCACACGTGTATGCATTTGGGCCAACCAGGAGGTTGTCTTTATGAAATAAAATATATCACTTTTAGTAAAGTTCTGTTTCTATATTAATTGTTAATGAATGAAATAAGTATTGATGGTCTGAGCAACTAATTAAAAAAATGGGGCGTCGGTCGTCCAACGCATTTCGCAGCTATAAACGCGTTTGCTAAGGCACAGTTGGTTGTATTTGGTTTTATCTAAGAGAGGGCACTTATCCCACACAGCATGTGGCTGTGTTTTATATACAGTATTATGGAACTGCTGACTCTCAGTTTTGCACTGTGACTCTCAGATTTGCACTACTGACTCTCAGTTTTGCACTACCGACTCTCAGTTTTACACTGCTGACTCTTAGTTTTGCACTGCTGCCGCTTGTATTTTGTTCTTCTGGCGTTTCATACAGTATAGCATACGGTATGGCTACGTCATATATAGAGAAAATAGAACTATTCTGTTCTATTTTCTCTGTGGTCATATCAGCGTCTGGCTGTGTCGAATCAGCAAACAGGCTGACACTATGTGGGCGTTTGGCCTGCAAACAAAGGGGATCGTCTTAACCTTATTTTCTTTAGTCATAATATACGTAAGTTGTTAATAACGTAGTTTGTGAGTGCTTTATCTTGTTCTTAATACTTGTCAATCTAAAATATATATTCAGAACAATTACAAGGAGAGTTACTCCTGTAACTCCTGCTGGGTTCTCCCATCGTCAATGGGTCTGGCCTTGTGGCACCCAGTTTTCACATATTGTCATATACTGTGTAATTTTTACTATTTGATGTTATGAAATATATATTCGTTATTAAGTTTGATGCTTATGTATTTGTATTCTAGTGCAACGCCAACTATAGCCTCTATGGCTTTTTGATAACCCTTTTTTAGTTGCAAACTGGTCGAAATAACAATTGCATAATTTCTAGTAGGGTCAGTATTTTAGTTAAGTTTATCATAGTCGAATGCTGACCTATTCTATTTCAAGTTTCACTTTTCGTCATTGATTTAATGACGCATAATTTCTTGTAGGGTCAGAATTTGATTTAAGTTTATCATAGTTTCTCTTTTCGTCAATGATTAAATGACAATATCATTTTTTGACTTATAAGTCTGTCTATTTTGAGGCAAATTTATTTATAATGTACTGTACTGTTTCTTATTTAATTAATTCGTTTTCTCATTTATTTTACTTGTTTTCATTTGACAAGTCTGGTTTCAATCTCTGTTATTTCATATTTAGCTATGATGTCTGTTATGCTAATTGCTAATGCTAATTCACTGCCGGTTTTTGTGGACTTAAATATTCAACGCGTTGTTGGCGGCCGCCCGGTGTAAAAAAAGTCGGTGTCTGTCGAAATATAACTCAAAAAACACTTAATGAAAAATGGTCTTGAGGAACTATCTGTCACTCGCTAAAATTTTCTTTGAAAAAGAGGTAATAAAGCTACAAGAGATGAATGCGCCACGACACGCCTACATGTGTTACACCGACAGGTCGAGATCCCTGGCTAATGGGAAAAAAAAAGGATTAGCCTTTATCTGGCAATTAATCTCTTAGGTTTTCACACCTACTCACATAAGCAATCCTTGGCTGATGCACATTTATTTTATAATGTTATTCCATAAATTATATAGTGGGCTACGAATAATGTTTATTTCATGATTTTGAACATTTTCACGCTTTTCCCGTTAATATTGGCCAAGTACTTACGAAGGTATGATATTAATCATTGTTTTTGGTAAGGTTTTGGTCAGCTATTCAATATACTGTAATACCATATAGCACTTTCTACACTATTGTTTTCTGAAGTTTCATTTCCTTCAAAATTTTGTTTAAGATGTATGATTTTGTGTGTGTGTGTGTTTAATTAGAAATTTTTAATTTCATGTTGAGTATCTGGGTTGCCCTCCATCGACAATAATTATTAGGAAAAAGTTAACTATAAGTATGAAATATCCTATTGAAATTTTAGTAACTTCCTAATATATGCAGGGGTGTATCGAGGATTTTTTCTGGGTGGGTCGTGATCATAATTTTTTGGACCTTTTCACAATGAAATAACAGCAAGATGTGATTAAAATATCAATACAATTTGCTTGAAGCAGATGGCAGGCTCAGTTTTAAAATTTATGAAATAGACCGAATTACCGATCGACGCTGTTCAGCTATAGTGGGTATTCGAACCAACACAAACGCACGAAGATAGGCGATTTACACAGTAATTTAAGAAAATAGCTTTTACTAAAACGTCTCATACACGCTTTGGCTTTGTGTGTAAAGTTGAGCGTGATTTAAATTAACAGAAACCATTGTTACATGTTTGTGAATGTAACGTCATCTTTTCTCTACGATTGTGTATGCCAAATGTGAAATATAACGAGAATAAATCGTACTATTTTGGGAATAAAACGTACATTGGTCGTGTCTGCCTGTGTTACAGCACGACCCTCACAGTGAATCATGGCGTCGGTCGATGAATGTGCTTGTAATTTTTATAATTAGTAATATTTACATTAATAATACTAATTAGTCATTATGACGATAATAGATGTGATAATAACAACAACTTTAATATTTATTTTAACAAATAGTAATAATACATGGTAATGATAACGATATTTAAATATCAATTTTAATAACTAATTAGTGATAATAACGATATTGAAGGTGATAATAGCAATAATACAACAATAATAAATTAAAGATAATGTTTATTTTTATAATAATAGTAATACTAATTAGTAATAATAATAATAATACTTATAATACTAGGCCTACTTAGTAATAATAGGGTAATAATATCGATAATAAAGGTGACAACAACAACAATAATATTAATAATAATAATATGAGAAAAATATTAATAAAACGCCAATAACAACAACTTTTTAAATTACTATTATTAAAATTATAATACTAAGACTAATAAATAATAATAATAATAAATAATAATAATAAATCGAAAATTATTTATCATTTATATGGTACTGTAATAATAATAATATCAGCAAAAATTTGAACAATATATAATGTTAATGCTAAGACTAATAATTAATATTAAAACTAACGGTAATAAAAACAACATAATAATAACAACAATGACAACAATAATAACAGCAATAATAATAACAATTAGTACAATGTAGTACCAGTAAATGACTTGTGGCCGAGTTCACTTGTGGCCGAGTTGATTTGTGGCCGAGATAACTTGTGGCGGAGTTGACTTGTGGCCGAGATGACTTGTGGCCGAGTTGACTTGTGGCCGAGTTAACTGTAGCCAAACTTTTTGTGGCCGAGTTAACTTGTGGCCGAGTTGACTGTGGCCGAGTTGACTTGTGGCCGAGTTGGATCGAATTCTGTTGCAAAACTCATGAAATGTGTTGTACTTGCAGATTTCAAGGAGAGCTAAGTTATTCAAAATTATTGAATAATGTTCCTAAATTCACACCAATAACTTTGGCAGACTGGATGTTTAAACAAGTAAAAGACTTGACGACAGCACGGAGCTGAACGTTTACAGTCAGGCCTCACTCAATCATCACATCCAGCCCTGTCGCGGTGTCATGCAACAAGTGTCAGGGGCTGAGGCATAGCCTGTAAAAACTCTACGTATATTTAACTTAATTTTACATGAAAATCAAATCAAACGTCTTCTGATGGTTATATGAACCTTCCTTAACCTACCAATGTTTTAAAAAGTGTTTTACCCGCGTACTTTGGTTTTTTTTTTGCTTATTTTCCTGGACCACACAAAAACTCGCAACGTTATAGAATAGGACTTTTGGGCTTTGTTTACAATTTTATACACACTCGGCCAAATTGTGATGACGTCATCTTTCGTTGCTAATTCGGTCTATTGAGATAGATTACGGTATGTCACACAATTGGCAAGGTTTTTGGACTCGTTGCTGGTACCTAATTAATGATTTTTTTTATTTATGTCATTGTGAAAAGGCTCTGGAAAAAAATGTGAACCTTTGAAAATTTTTGGGGGGATCGTACGGCCTCTCCGACCCCCCTTGCATACACCTATGACATGAAAATATTGCAATGAAGTGATTTAATCAGTCAATTTAATGAGTGCTACAAACCACCACTACAGTATTTTGTATTTCTAATTACATCATATGCTATATATTGGGCAATTCCATGGTAACTGACGTTACATTTCATCCTTTATTATATTCACATAGTTACCCACTTTATATTAAAACCATAGAAAAATGTTACAATTTATGGTGCTAACCACAAAAACCAATGATTTCAAAAAATATCGAAGAAAAAATATGTCGAAGAAACATACAAAACATGACTTGAAATATGTGATGACTTGTCCCGAACTAAATGCTCCTTAATCTGTGTTTCTAGGTGTCTATTAGTCTCGCCAATATATACGGAGTTACACCCCGCGCAAGTAAATTTATAGAAAACACGGGCTCAGAGATTAGTCGGGACATAGTCTTTTACGTTAAAAAAAATTGATAATTTGTATGGCTTGAAAGCAAGTCCGACATTAATATGACAACATCTTCAGAACTCAGTTAAATGTCCAAACACATCTAATCCAGACTGTTTTACTATTCTTGACTCCGCCCCCAACACTTATCAACTTAAAATAAAAGAAGCCCATTACATCATTCATTCCTGATGATGACATAATTAATGTCGAAATATTGAATCCCAACACGATGGCGTGTATTTCAATACTTGGAGTATGTATTATACTTTCCCTTTACATTGCTTGGGTAAATCCGTCACTTAACAAACAAACAACTCATTACATCACTCTTTCATTCTAATTCATTCTAATTCCTATATACATGACTTACCATAGCATTCCTGACCTCTATATACATGACTTATCTTAATATTTGCTTGTTTTCACCTTACATCTGACCGGCAGTATTTAAGCCGTCAGTAGCACAGCACAGCGCTATTGCCTGATGATGACGTGGGACACGTCGAAACATGTCGTTTAAAACATTCATTTA